GGAAGACAGCATTTAACTGCCCGTTGGAGGGCTACCAATTGCAGTGTTCCTGCAATTGATCAATGAAATATTGCATGAGCATTTCTACCATGGGTTCTCGTGTACCTGGACGACATCCTGATTTACACAACCAACATGGTAGAACACATTCAACTGATCGGGCAGATGTTAGAAAAACCGCTGAGGGTGCACCTATAAATAAAGCTATCTAAGTGTGAGTTTCACCAAACCTGTCTGGACTACCTGTATTGAAGAAGGGTCTACCTCTGAAGACAGCTTGAGAGCAGTAACTCCAACTGTGGATGATTTGGTCCTGGAGCTGCAAAGAGCAGTACGGGTTGACCCCTGGCTCCTGGAGCATTGAACACTCCTAACTCAGAGGGGTTAGTGTGGAAGGGTAACAAACTGTACATCCCGCATGCTTTATGACCAAAGGTGCTGTGGAGGTGCCATGATGTTAAGCAGGCTGGCCATTTCGGTTTCCTCAAAACATTACACCTGGTTAAGTGCCAATTTTGGTGGCCCCAGATGAAGGCAGAGATAGAGGCATATGTAAGAGACTGTCCTGTGTGCGCTACCACAAAGCATCGCACGGGGAAGCTCTCTGGGTTATTGCAGCCGGTAGCAGATCCATCACGACTGTGGGAGGACATAGCGATGGACTTCATTGTAGAGCTGCCAGAAAGTAATTGCTGCATGGACATATGGACGGTAATTGACCTCTTCTCCAAACAAGCCCATTTCATCCCATGTAACAGATTGCCGTCCACCCAGAAATTGGCAAAGTTGCTTGTATCATATGTTTACTGCTTGTACAGGGTGCCCTGGCGGATAATATTGGACTGGGAGTTTGTCCAATTAATCAGGTCGTCCCAGGGGCTTAGCTCAGTCTTTCATCCAAATACCAACGGGGCGTCTGAACGTGCAAATGCGATGGTTGAACGGTACCTGCGATGTTACGTCTCATACCAGCAGACGAACTGGGTGGACTTATTGCTGTTTGCTGAAGTGGCGTATAATAATGCGGTCCATAATAGCACTGAATTCACCCCTTTCCGGGTGGTTCATGGAGTGGACTTTGTACCGATTCCCGAGTGCCCGCAGGAGTCCCTCTCCCCATGCCAGCCCCAAGAGTGGATAGATAGGATACGGAGAGTCTGGGGGAAATGTAAAGATGGCGCTAACAAAAGCAGCAGAGGTCTATAAAGTGTAAGCTGATAAAAAAGGGCACCCCACAAGCTATTCCAGGTGGAGGATATGGTGTATCTATCCACCAAATACCTACGCCTGAAAGTGCCATATAAAAAGTTAGACCCAAAGTTTCTGGGACCATTCCCGATAGTATGGGTGATCAACCCAGTCACTGTGAAACTGAAACTGCCCTATCTCTTGGGTTGGATGCACCCGGTGTTCCACAGCAGCCTGTTAAAGGCAGTAGAGGGGTCCTCCTTATGGCCCGTTACACGGGTGCTGACCCCTATCATGGGGGATCAATACGAAATTGACGTGCTCACAATCATTGCTCTGGATGCTGGTTAGGTGGATGGGGGAGCGGGTCTGGGTGGGATCCGTCTATTTAGTGCGCTGGGAGGCAGTAGCTCCCAATGTTGACTTTGTTTTTGTGATTGCTTTGCATCTCGTACGCCAAAGTATGCCTGAAACCTAAATCAGGTTTCCTTTGATTCTGATGCGTCTGTTTTCTGTTGGGCTCAGGCCTGGGTTTCGGACCTTTGACATAGGAAGTGGGAAAAGTGCCTTCTATGCCATGGAGGAAGGGTCTACTTTTGAAGGATATTTATATTGGGGCAGGTGCCTATTGCTGCCAAGGTGTGTTCTCCCCCTATTCAAAATGTTGGGCTGTCTGTCTGCCTGCAATCCTGAGAAAGACCATTATCTTCTATAACAACCACATGCATTCCTTTTAAAATGTGCAGTTGAAAGAAAAAACACATTTATTACCATATTTAGTTCAGCTCTCATAAAAACACCCATGTTATGTGAGCAGCCTATTAAAAAGGCAAATTCAGGTGCCAGGGACTGTTAGGAAAGAAAGTGAATATTATAGAGGATATCCAAAGATGACAAGTGGTCATGTCACAATTTAAATTGCTACTTTTTTATCATCTTCCTGTTTCTCATACCGTTTAGATTTAACAGGATTACAACTTTTATAATGGAAAGGAATTATGGACATAATGTCTCACTGTAACAGAAAAGCAACAAATTATGCATAATACCATGACCAGCATTTTAGATTCTACCACCACTTCTAAAATAATACGCATCCAACATCATATTGCCTTTAATAAGCTTTTCCTCTATAAGTGCAATAGTTTGTGATTCTTTTGCATAACTTGGAATCTGAAGATGTGGGAAGGCAAAATTTGCAACACACAACAAGCCATCAGAATACTCCAAACCACAGACTGAAGGACAAAATTGTATCATTTATTACCATTTACAAACTGCATTATTGATACAAATGTTTTAACCAAAAACAATATATGAATATCAGAATATATTACAGCACATTAAAACATCCTATAGGTTTGCAAACATACATAGCAATTTGGTTTGTACCATATTTTAAAAAAAATACAAAAAAGGAGAAGAAAACATTAGGCTCCTTAATTGCCTTGATCAGTTTATTCAGTATATACAAAGATAATGAAGAGACAGAAAAACTTTTCTCAATTTCCAAGTCCAGCAACTTTTTAACATGGCCTAATGCCATTGGCAGTACCAAATTCACTCTCAGCCAATAGGATAAGAAGAAAGGATCACTAGGGGAAATGGGTGATATAATCCAATGCACTGGGTTCAGGAAAATGGCTATAGTACCACCTAACCCCTTCTGAGTCTGCAGTACCTCTATGTGACAGAACATTAATGAATGTATAGGACAGCAACTGGAACCCCAGGGCCAAATCCAGCCCAATGGGAGACAGTGCCTTTTCCAGTTTACCAACTCAGAGGCAAGAGATGCTAAACAATTTGCCAGTAAGTTGTATTAGGGTAACAGAAGGTGGTTCTTCTAAAAAAAAAAAAAAAGACTGGACTGGACTGGACAGAATCGTTTTAGAAGAGTGCAGGTAATCCTGCATTAAAATTATTTCCCTAAATATCACACAGGATTTGCAATTTCCACAGTAACAGATTACTTATGCCTGGCATTGTTATCATGTTTCCTCTGCATACACTTACACTTGACATTATGGCACTATCACAAATGATGCTGAAAGCACAAAACTTCAACCCCCCTCTTCTTTAGACATTAGATTTAAAAAAAGTCAAGGAAATTAATTCAAGGATAGCTACTGCTCAGCATTACTTGGAAGACAGAATAAGCAACAGGGAGACAATTAAGAGGAGCAGGTGTGGAAAAACTCAGCTTGACAGCAAAGGAGTGTTATGGTCTTGCCTTTGGAAGGTTCAGGTGGAAAAGAGAATTTGGAAGGTTCTTCTTAGGGCAGTGAGTCTTTCTCCTCATTCTGTGAGCACACAGAGACAGGCGGAAGAGAAAAAATAGACTATTCTTCAAACATCATTTTGTGCAAGGTCCACTAGAGTCTTAAAATAGACAGTAGCTGGAGAGCAGGAGCAGGTTTAAAACACCTTTTATTGTGCTGGCAGTTGATCTGGTTCACAAGCATAGAGTAGATAAGGAAAGGCCTGAAAGGAGCACACCACAGATTGCTAACACACTTTTTCTCCTCCTGCCCACTGCATCTTTTTGCCCCCATGTCCAGCTGTTTTTCACACTCCTGGTACAACTGAGTCATCTATGAAAATTTATTTCCAAACATGGATTGCACTTGTGCGAATAGCTGCTTTCCAGAGAAACAACTAGAGGACAAACAAACAAAATCCCTGGGATTTAACTTCCAAGAATACAAAATGTGCTTGTGTTTAGTTAACCCTTCCTCCTGGGAAGGGAAGGAAAGGGAAGGGGGAGGAGAGGAGAGGAGTAATTCTAAGTACCATGTTTTTCTCTAAGGGAAAAGGATTGAAAGTTGTGGAAGAAGAAATCTCTCCCCCTTGGAAGTTGTGCATTTCCATTTGGCCGTCTTGAAGCACAAATTAGCAAAAGAAAAGATTCCACCCACACATCACTAGCAATTTAAATCATAATTCTACCACCTCAGCACATTAATAAAATTTGTTTTGCAAAGGCACTGTATTTATTTTTTAACCCAAATTTACAAGATTATACAAACATTTAAAAAAAAGAAAAAAAAGATTCGGAATGGGTTTCTATAACGGCTACAAAAATATTTCTCATTCCAAGTGCTTGGAATAAGGTAATTCTGGCTTTCCCCAAACAGAATCTGCTTGCTGAATCAAGGATTCTAAAACTGTGGCTATCAAGCGGCTCATAAATGGATTAGAGTGAGGACGGGGGAAGGGGGGAGTGTCACACATTTCTAGATTGCCAAAAGGTAGAAAAGTAGGAAAGCTGGGAATCCAGAGCTTCAATTCCTAGGGAAAACAGGAGGGGAGGAACTACATCATGCAGAGTGCATGGCTGATGAGAAGACAGGCAGGGTCAGGAACCCCCTTCAAGCCAGGAAGAGAATACAACGCTAGGTAGCTACTGATAAAAATGACAGCTGCTTCCATCACCATCAATAATACAGGTAGTCCTCAACCTACAACCGTTCATTTAATGACTGTTTAAAGTTACAACGACACGGAAAGAAGTGACTTATGACCATTTTTTCACACTTGTACAACCATTGAAGCATCACATGATCAAAATTCAGATGCTTGGCAACTGGTTCATATTTATAACAGTTACAGTGCTCCAGGGTTGCCTTTTACGATTTTGTGACAAGCAAAGTAAGTGGGGAATCCAGATTCACTTAACAACCATGCTACTAACTTAACAACTGCAGTGATTCGCTTAACTGTAGCAAGAAAGATCGTAAAATGGGGCAAAACTCACTTAACTGTCTTGCTTAGCAACAGAAATTTTGGGCTCAATTTAGTTGTAGGTTGAGGACTACCTGAATTGTGTAGGAGGGAAAATCTCATGAATTAATTATTTTAGACAGTCACAGGACCACAGAATTTGAGAAATATCTATAATATAAACTGAACACTGAGAATTGCAGCAGAAATTTCATGAATTCAAATTGTGGAAATTAATACTGTAATTCTACCACACTACAAACTATCAAGCATTATAGTTCTTAGAGCAAAAATTATAAGGATTGTAAAGCTGCTTTTCTAATAAGGGTCAAAGAGTTGTATAGATGAATCATCTGCCTACTACATTAGTCATCCAAATCTGCTTAGGAAAGTCACATGCAAGTAGCTGACTTTCTGAATGGGTCCCTAGCCCATTTCTAGCCAGGTCCTGGGAACCAATGTCTGCAAACAACCAAGAGATCTCTGATAAAGAACTGCTAGTGTACAAATTATCCCCACAATCTTTGGTAGGAAAATATATGACCAAAGAGATTTAAAACCAGAGCAAAGATGTTGTCTGAAAACAGAGACATCATGAACATGTGTAAGAAAGGGCATATAAATAAAAGGTGAAGCTTCAAGATGTATTTTTCCAACAACTAAACTTTATAGCACAAGGGGCCAAGGTCATGATACTGTGGTTAATGATGTAAACTGCTCCACCCAAAGGGCAATGATGTTATGCCAGTCAAAGGCACTGTTAACTCTTTTTCCCCAGGCCATGTTATTGTTCTGGATACTGTACATATCTACGATGGTTAGTACTCATAACATCATAAAGAATTAGCCCATTGTTGCCCTTTTCCATGCACAAAAATGTCTATTACTACCTCCTGTTTAACAGCAGCTTGGTTTGACAAGTGTTGGAACGAAGATCCTTAAGAGAGAGGGGTAAAAATAAAGGACTACAAGCTATATAATTGGAATGGAGATGCTTAAAATGGAATGGGGGTGGGTGGGAGAGGATGTAAGCTACAGTCATCTGACAAAACGAGCCAGGAAAGCCATATGTGCTTCAATAAGAGCCTGGTTGATTTGGGTCTGTGCATTTTTTCTCTCTAGGCTGTGCATCAAATCTCACTACAAATCAAGAACATAAATAATAATAATAATAAAAAATCATTATCATCCAGAAAGGGCTGCAGTTTTTATACAAATACCACCATGCAGTTACAAGAACACAATTTTGCTTTTCAAAAATTAAAAAATGTGGATTTGGATTTTTTTTCTTACTTTTTGCATTTTTCTTAAATTAAATCAGATCAGTTGATAGAAAATAAGTATGTATAATTTCCCCATCCCATCCACCACTGCCCTTATTTATACATAATATATATAAAACTCAGGATCCAATAAAAATAATGCTCCTTTTAAGTCAAGGCTGACATGACTGGACTACCATTGACCATTGTTTTGCGTCCCCTACTGGCCAAAGGTTGCATCTGGTGGCAGTTCGAGGTGCCATTTAGCATGGCACCAGATGCAGGGTTGATTGGAATGCTTACAGTGGTGGTATTGGAGCTTGGGGAGCCATGGGAAGGTGTGACAGGACTTGGCAATGAGGAGGAGGTGGTAGCTGGCAAGGTGGCTGGGCTATGAGCTTTGTCACTGACAGATTCACACTCTGAAGCCCCACTGGTGTTGGTACACTCTGAGTTGGGAGGCTGAGAAGACAGTTTTAATCTCTTGCAGGCTGGTTGGACACGATATTTCAATGGGAGAGGGCCATTCTATTGAAGGAAAGAAACAGGATGAATTAGCAACTTGCATATTGCTATTTCTCCAAAAGAAAACAATGGCAAAGAAGCACAGTAAAACATCAGACATAAATTTAACAACTATAAAGCCAAAAAGACATAAAACTGCAGTTGTACAACACTTAAAACATTTGTCAGTATATTTTAATACTGACCTAATGGTATGGTCCTCAGGCAGTTATTTATCCTATAAGTAACCATGTACCAGAGACCATATTATTAAATATGATCTTGTTACCAGTCCAGACAGAGAGGCCCTGTTCTAGATTCCATCCCATAAAAGATAACAAATCCAGAAGGCAAGCTTTCCCAATAGAGGTAGACCCTGATTTGCAACTATTCATTTAGCGACTGTTCAAAATTATAACGGTCCTGAAAAAAAGTAATTGACAAACCAGTCCTTGCACTTACAACATTGAAGCAGCCCTATAGTCAATTGATTAGAATTTGGGAACTTGGCAACTGGCATGTATTCATGATGATTGCAGCATTCTGGAGTCATGTGATTGCCAGTTGTGACCTTCCCAGCCAGCTTCTGATGAGCAAAGTCAGTGGGGAAGCTGGCTTCATTTAATAATCACATAATTCACTTAGCAAGTGTATTGCTTTGCTACAACCATGGTGAAAAAGTTGTAAAATCATGTATGACTCATTTACTGTAACAACTGTCTTGCTTAGCAACAGAAATTCTAGTGCTAATTGTGGTCTTAAGCTGAGGACTACCTTTACTGGCTCTTCATGCAATGCACTATTTGCAAAGATATGCCTGGACGCTTCACTGACTTTTAAAAATACTGAAAACAGTTTTCTGTCAAGCAGGCCTTAGGAAGAATTATGAATGAGCAACAATATTTTTAATTTTATGATTTTATACAGTGCTTAGACCATCTGCTGGATTGGGACAGTATATAAAGGTTGGTTGATCGGTCGATTTGTTGGCTGACAGACAGATAGATGTCTTAAACTTTTGTTTAAAACCAGGCATTTTGAGAACTGACTGTATTTGTGCTAGGAGAGAGTCCCATAATAACCACCACCACTAAGAAAACACATCTGAAAGGAGGTTATTTATCCAATTTGGTCTGGTTCATGCAACCAGGTTTTAATTTTTTTCTGTGTACCAAGGTGAGGAATACTGAGCAATTTGGTACTTTTCTTCACAGCTCACAAGCAGACAGGGTGCCAAAAAAGACAGGGTGCCTTTGCAAGACAGTGGGCAGCATACTTTATAGGGCAAAAGGGCAGCAGCACAGCTTCGTAAAAGATGTCTGACGATGCCAGCCAAAAAATGGTTCAGACTAAATATTTTCATTTGTCCTCCATTCCCCAGAAAACCAAGTAACAAAGAGGTCACTATAGTGACAATCTGTCTCTTAAATCTAAGGGTCCCACACTACACCTCCTGTTGCATAGCTTGCTCTACCTCTTACCTGCTCAGGAATTATTTGAATGATGCCCTGCATCTACTCAGAATCACCACATACCTACTAGGCCAAACTTCCTAGTGCGGTCATACAAAGGCTTTCCCCAACTAAACTTAGAATATGTTTTGGAATTATTGAATGCTTTTTTTACATATATAAAAATTTTAAATAGTCTACAATTAATGACTATGGAAATTCTCAGTCATTCAGATCATAGTTTCTAATTCCCATGTTGATAGGTTGAAATTTAAAAATCTGTCCAAATTTGCTCATTAGTGTGAAAAATTAAATCTCATTAAGATGATACAAGTTAACATTTTTTTATATAAAGGGGTTTTTTTCTTACTCACCCTTCGCCAAGGATAGATATAAGTTATGTCCATGAGAGTATAATATTCTTTTAGAGGTTCATCTTCATAGAGAACCTCCACCTAATAAACAAAGTTTAAGACATGCAGAATTATATGACACAGGTATAAATTTAAATATTTGGCACAGATTTAAGTAACCTGGATATCTCTTTTTGGTAGTAAATTTATTTAAATTTATAACTACCACAATAAAAACAAACTAAAAAGAGAGAATAAAAAAATAAAGGGTACAGAAAGGAAAACAATAGAAAGAAAAATAAAAAGGACAAAATAAGAATATTGTAAAGAAAAAGAAAAGAAATCTATATTTCCAACCTTCTTCACAACTATAAACAATTTTATTAACTTACCATCTTTTCTTAAAATACAATAAATGATTTCTTCTTCCCATATCCCATCTCTTATCTATAAATAAAACCTCGTTATTTTGGGTCTAATGTCAGCAAAAATCCATTAAGTGTTACCAGGAATCTATTCTAATCTTGATCAAATAAACCAACTTTATATCTCTTCCTTTTCCTATATTCTGAGACTTCTAAAAATCTCAATTTTAGTCCCTTGATTTGTCCTAGAAATTGATTTGTTTTCATTTTTTTGTCCTATCTCATGAAATTTTTCAAAATTTTAAGAAGCCTTCTTTGTAAATCCAGTGTAGGAAAATTATCCAGGTCACTCTCTTGTGTTGTATAGTCAAATCTGTAGCTGAAATGAGAGGAGGAATGAAAAGTCTGGCTAACCTTGAACTGCTGATGTAGAGGAAGTTGGTAGAAAGCAGATATTTCCTAAACCTTGCACTGCTTATCTAGCAATTTCCATAGTGAGTGCATTATTCTAGCTAAATTCCTGTCAATAGGCAAGTAGCAATAAATGTATCATTCTGATTCATTCATTCTGTTTTCCGGGTTCCATGCACCTGACAGGCTGTTATTTCTTTGATATATTTCTTTTAAATATTAAGAAATCAGCTGATTTTTGTTGTATGTCCAATGTAATATCTTTTTCTATGTCATTCATGTAGCTTGTTGTTTTGAAATCCACCTGCATGTCACTTTCAATAATGTAATGTAAAACTTGTTCCTCTTCCATAACATTTTTTAAACACAGTCCAACTATAAAGGCAGACACTCAGTAAATCAACTTCTAGGTTCATTGTCCAAAAATATCCTTCAGTATGTTCAATATTAAAATATTTTGCTAATTCTGTATTAATAAATTGAGTTTGAGTGATGTTCTTCTTTAATTTTTTAGTTCCTCCTGGTATCCTCTGGTGTCCAATTTTTAAAGTCTTAGTCTTATTATTTTTTTAAAGCATTCAAAACAAAATATTGTCTCTCTATAACTAATTTCAAAATCTTAGTTCAGATTTAACTGGACCCTTAATATGTTTCTTTTACTGTTTATTACAAAAAATCCCCCCTTAACTTATATTTGAAACTTCTTTTGCTAAGGATTGGAAGAAACTCGTCTGCTGTTATTAAACCTTATCATTCCAAAGATTCGTAATGGCTGAAAATCAGTTAGCAAGCAGTTTCTGAAAGTGATTAGAAAAAGACCTATGCAAACCCAGTGGCCTTTTAAAGGTCAAATGTAATTTGACTAAAATAGCTATTCTCTTGTCTCCCAGAGCTCTAAACACACTAAAGACTGCTGTCTTGAGATCTCCTCATGAGAAGCAGCTTTCTGTAGCACTTGTGGGTGATCTCAAATCCTTTCCTTGATTAAGAATTAATAAAGAGGTAGGCTGCTTGCCAACTCTTCATTCTGCTGCAACTGTCTCCACTTTTTGAAAAGCTACCTTCAGTCTACCATGTCTTCCCAAGAAGTCCAATCCAGTAACCTGCATTTCTTAATGTCTCTCTTCCCCTTCCCCTCCCTCCCCTCTCCTCGTCAAGCTATAAAGATGAAATCTGTAAGCCACATATAATTCTCAGCCTAATTTCATATGGGAGTTATAAAGAAATAAATGTAGGTTGAGTTTGAAAAAAAAATGCATATACATATCTTGTCTATATCACAATAATCCAGACAATGAGCTTAATTTATAATAGAAAACAGTCAGTGACTGTTTTAGAGTGAATGGGATGTTTTTGTTAAATCCTTAAAATAACAAATTCCATTCTGTCTTCTTGATTTGGGTGAAGGGAGAGACAGAGAACATACAAAGTACAACTCTTGCATATTGATTTTTTAGTTTAGCCAACTCTTTTTTGGAGAAGCTAGTAAGAGGAGCTGCAGATTTATTTATTTTTTTAACCTTGGCTATGAAGAATTATAAGTATACAAAAAATCAGTAGCAACTTCAACCCTTGGGTCAGGAGAATGGTGGCTGCTTGCCTGAAACTTACTTTGTATTTGGTGGGAACATCCATCTTGTTCCGGAGGAACTTAGCCAGGTGCATGATAGTCATAGCAGCAGGACATCGGAGGAATCTCATGCTGTTCTTCTACAGAGGAATGTGAGAGGAGAGAGATGGTTTTAATTGGAGAGGGCTGGACTGTACAGCAGGAAACTGAAGTTGAAATAGATATGGAAGTCACTGTAAATCTGCCGAAGGGCTAGGAAATTAAGGGGTGAAGGTTGGGGGGAGGAGTGCAAGAAGTTCTCAGATCACAGGCAAAAGCAACCAGATGTAATTTGCATGTCTTTGTGGTGTACAACAAAAGGAGAAAAAAATCAAGCTGAGTTTGGAAGAAGGAGAGAGAGAGAGAGAGAGAGAGAGAGAGAGAGAGAGAGAGAGAGAGAGAGAGAGAGAGAGAGAGAGAGAGAGAGAGTCTGTAAGAGAGGGAAGTGGAGGGAAGGGGAAGGGAAAGGGAAAAGCAAAATATAAAGAAGCAAAACAGACAAAGAAAGAAAATATGGAAGTCATATTGATGGAAAAGAAAATAGCGGAAACAAAAGCAAAAAATGCTGACATTTGTATGCCTAGGAGCTCACTTAAGCCCAAGTTCAGGATGCTTTTTAATAATATGATTTAAACTTAGGTTTCATATAAATATTAGAGTTTTCTCCAAATTAATCCATATCCTACAACTTGTTTCCAAATAATAAAATACTAAGACTACCCAATCTGAGAGTGCAAAATGTCACTAGACGGTAACAAATATACACAGGAAGCTCTAGCTGTTTGCTGTTATAGAGATTGCCAACTTTTTTGCAGATGAGATATGGTTGCCTTTAGTAATATTAAGAAAAAGAGCCTTTTGTAGTCAGAGGATAGCTGCTTGAACCTTTACATAAGAGCAGTGCTTTTTTTCCACAAAAAAAAAAAAAAAAAAGTTACAGAACTCACACACGTCATACAACCCGCCTTGCCTACCCTACAAGGTTCCATCCAAAAAAGGTGCCGGAACTCGGTTCTGGGTGTTCTATGAGAAAAAAGCCCTGCATAAAAGAATCACTATGCTAAAGAAGAAGGAATCCAGTTTAGAGGTTTTAGACAAGTCCACCAAATTAAGAATGATTGCTGCCATAACGTATGAACAATGAATGGAATCAGAGAAAATGTATATATTTCTTGCCTATTAAAATCATCTTAGAACATGTAGCTGTTTAAATTTAATACAGAATCCACACCATGATGTAACTCACCTTATCTTTTTCTATGTTTCCATTTTCAACAGTCCCTTTATTTTCATCTCTGAAGAATTAAGAAGACTAATGAGTTAAATATGTATACAAATACAGATATAGTGGTACTTTGGTAGTCAACTGCTTTGAAACTCATCAAATTTGGTACTCAACACATTTTGATGTGAAATTTTGTCCCAGTACTCATTGTTTGTTTGGTATTCAACACACAAGCTAGAGCTTGTTAATATTGGTTGCCTTGTGACTCATTATATTATTCCTTATGGGAAAAATTTGTTTGGTACTCATTGCTTTTGGTACTCATCATGCCTCCTGGAATCAATTAACAATAAGTACCAAGGTGCCATTTTGAGATAGAGAGATAGCTAGGAAGTTATCCCTACATGAAATATACCAGGCCACCCAGAATCAGCAAATATGATTATTTCTGCATGCATTTTAGCTATATAAGTTACAGAGTACACAATTTTTTTCTAATGGTATATAAAAAAAACTTCCCTATAATAAAGTACTATTAGGCAGAATAAAATAACTATTTGGAGGAATTTGGTTTGCATGCTGCCAAGGGCTGAATATAGGATGATGATGATGATGATGATGATGATGATGATGATGATGATGATGATGATGATGATGACGACGATGACAATGCATTTTGACTTCCAGGCAATTGTGTTAGACCAGTATTAGCTATCAGTATTAAATAGTAAGTATCTTGATTTGGATGGGAGCACTATTTGCTATTCTGGCTTATGCAGGAAAATATCTTCCTTTAGTGTTAATGGCATAAGACTTTGCAAGAAGCCATCGCAGAAAATAGGTCCCTATCCTTAGAAAGAGGAAGCAATGGAACATGTGCTATTGATAGCCCTACCATCAGTATTGTCCTTTCACCCTAGTTAGTATTTCTGTTTTCATTAAGAGCCAGCCAAATATATACATGTACAAATCACTAACTGCCAGATTGCAGTCTAAGAGAGAAGCTGTGAAATGTTCTGTTAAATTAATTTGAAGGGATATAAATTAGCCAACTCTCAGTGCAAACTGAAGATAGGGAATAGATAGACATAATAAGAATTAGGAAGAGGCCAAGAACTTTTTGAATTTTTAACATTTCTGAATAAATATGACTTAAAACATGATCTGTTATTCATGCAAGTCCTAAAACAGATTAAGAGAATCCAATTAAACAAATGAGTCAAAAATGAAAACATTACATTTGTTCATTTATTTACTAAAGAAAATAATCCAAAACTACATATCTATGTATGGCAAAACTATGTGAATCTCTAGAATTATCAGATCATTTGAAGGGGTAATTAGAATGAGTTGTTTCGGTCAATAAGATGATAATCAGATGCCAGTGTGTGAAATCTTGCCTTATTTAAAGAACAGAATTTTGGATTTTTATTTTCTTTGCAACAGAAGTATGTCATAGCTTGAACAAAGGATATTTTTGAGGACCTCTGACCTCACCCACCTGAAAAAGATTCCAATCTATTTCCAAGGAAATAGGCAAATTGTGTACAAATGGAAGTGATTCAATGCCATTCTTACCCTCTCTCTAGGAGTTGTTGACTAGCTAAGATCACATCAAGAGCAAAGTATGTAATGGCCCAGGAGATCTCAGAGAATCCCAAGGTAACATCTATGGAACCAAAGACCTCTACCCCGTTTGTGAATGTCAGTGTTGATGAGACAACCATCAGGAGAACACTGAACAACAATGGTATACATGGCAGGCTTGAAAGAAGAAAGCCACTACTCTCCAAAAAGAATAGTTGCTCAGTTAGTTTGCAAAGGATTACATAGATCAGCTAGAAGACCATTGGACAGATGAGAGCAAAATTGAACCTTTTGGCAAAAGGTTGGCAAATAAACCTTATTCCATCTATGAAACAGTGACATCCTGGTTTGGACCTGCTTTGCTGACAAAGATGGCTTGCCCTCACTGCTGGAACTATGAATTCTGAATTGTAGAAGCATCCTACAGGAAAACATCAGGGTATCTGTCCAGGAGCTCAAAAGAAAGTGGATCATGCAGCAAGACAACAACTCAAAGCACATAAAACATACAACCAAATGGTTAAGGCAGAAGAAAGTTAATGCAGCTTCCTACTCATCTTTGTTGCTCTTCTCTGCACTCTTTCCAGACTCTGAACATATATTTCTTTTTACAATATGGTGACCAAAACTGAATGCAGTATTATTCCAAGTGTGGTCTTACCAAGGTCTTATAAAAGGGTACTAACACAACATATCTTGATTCTATCTCTCTGTTAATGCAGCCTATGATTGAATTGGCTTTTTTGGTGGCTGCCACACACCGCTGGCTTATATTTAAGTGATCATCCACTAGGGCTCCAAGAACCCTCTTGCAGTTTCTGCTACTGAGCCAAGTTTCACTTAATCTGTACTTATACATTTGGTTTTTTTTGCCTAAATGTAAAACTTTCCTTTTTTCTCCATTGAATTTCATTTTATTAGATAGGGCCCAGTGTTAAAGTCTGTCGAGATCCATCTGGAACTTGAGCCTATCTTCTGGGGTCTTGGCTATTCCTGCCAGATTTGATTTGCAGATTTGATGAGTTCCCCTTCTATTCCCTCATCTAAATCTTTATGAAATTGCTGAAGAGTAATGGGCTAAGACAGAATTTAGGATATCTCACTGCATCCTTAATTTCATTAAGGACTACACATTGAGCGTAGTTTGTCAGCCAGTTACAAATTCATCTGGTAATAATGCTATCTATCCCACTTTTTTCTATTTTACCAAAAAGTAGATTGTAGTCTACTTTGTCAAATGCCTTACTAACATTCAAGTGTACTATGTCCACAGAATTTGCTGGTGCTCCATTTGCTCCCACCCCCTTTAAAAAATATTTAGATTGTGACATTTCTGTCTTATCATTAGAAATTTTGGAATGGAAAGGGAACGTGCAGCATATATTCTTCAAGCCTGCCTTTCCCCAAATTTCTAATGGAGGGGCAGATTTGTGGATGTGCATATGAATTTGGCTCAGCTAGCTGGAGCATTTAACTGACCATAGCTCATCTTGAAAACTGAAATCTAGAAGAAACAAAATCATGGCAAACTATTTTTATATTGCTGTCAAGAAAATTACATGATGTATTCATGAAGTTACCAGGAGTTGACTCCAATTTCAAAAAGATTTCAGCTTTACATTTTTGTGTGCTATTTATGTTTAAAAATGTTATAAAATATAACATTTTATAATTGTTAATATATTTTTTATTAAAATGTTACAGTATATTGCAGTATAACAAGCCAGTTTGGTCTAATGGTTAGGCCTGATTTCAGGCTGTGATTCCTGATTGGGTACAGAAGATATGCTTGCAGAAAACCATTCAATTTGTTTGAGATTCTGCTTAGCTGGTCATTAAACAGGTGTTCAGAAGTATAAATCTAGGGGATCCCTCAGCAGGAGGGGTGGGGAAATTAGCAAGGTTAACTTTACTACCTAAACAGTAGCTACCTTCTTCCCTTCCTACACCTAATATGCCCATTAATTCCATTGTCTGAGATTTTCTAATTGTATTATTAGTTGAGGAATGGGATAGGAAGAAAGATATGAAAAATATAAAGGGAAATGAATGATCCTGTTCCTTTGGCACTTTCTTTTTTGTTAAACTAATTCTTCATAACAATTTGTGGAAATTTTCAACAAAAGTAAGAATTAAGTGTACAAATTAATTCTTTCCTTTGGGTCTGCTTTTGTTTAGTTCTAACTTATACATATGTATCTCATTCTGAGATGAATACAGATAAAGATGATATACAGATAGTCCTCAACTTATGATCACAATTGAGTTTGGAATTTCAGTTGTTAAGCAGTATGGTCATTAAGTGAATCATTATGAGACCAGACCTGATTTTACAACTATTTTTACCAAGATTGTTAAGCAAATCACATGATCATTAAACAAATCACATGATTGTTAAGCAAATCTGGCTTCCTCAACTGACTTTGCTTATCAGAAGCTGGCTGGGAAAATCACAAATCATGATTACACGATCACAACATGCTTTAACCCAGTGGTGGGATTCAAATAATTTAACAACTGGTTCTCTGCAGGGGAGGACGCAGAGGGGGAGGTGGGGGGGACCGCTGCCACGAGGCAAATGGGGGAGGGGGAGCTGCCCCATGCACCCCACAACCGCTTATCATGCAAAGGGCCCCTGCAGCCAGGCCTACCACGCCCCGACACCTGTCACACCTCATGTGTTCAATAGTGACTGCTCCCACTTTCTCCTTCTTCCTCTGCCTTTAAACTGCCCTTTGCTCCCGTTGCTTCTTTTTCAGTTCCGGGGTTTTGTCTGGAGCCTGCGCAGTGTCTTTGGAAACAAAGCCAAGCAGCGATCGGATGGAGTGGGAACCATTCCCTTTGCTTTTGGACCGGGTCCAAAATGGGCTGGAAAGAGAGACCTGCCGACTCCAATCTGGCTTTGCAGCAAGCAAGGGGATTGGAGGCCCATGAATGCACATTAGTCTGGTGTCTCAAAAAACCAGAGTTCCCCCCCCCCCCCCCGTGCTGGATTTTCACTGCCAGACTGTTTAACTTTCTTTAAAGTTTACTTGATGCAGAATGGGAAGGATCCACATTCTGCATCAAGTAAACTTTAAAGAAAGTTAAACAGTCTGGCAGCGAAAATCTAGGAGTGGGGGGGGGCAGATTGCAGCAAGCAAGGGATGGGAGGCACATGAATGCACGCTAGTCTGGCCATTTCAGAGCTGGTTCCCCGAACTCAAGAAAAAATTAGGTATTGGTTCTGCCAAACCGGTGCAAACCGGCTGAATCCCTCCACTGCTTTAACCATTGTAAATGTGAGCTGTTTGCCAAATCCCGAATTGCAATTATGACCACAAGGGTGGTGCAACAGTCATAACTCTGAGGACAGGTTGAAAGTCATTTTTTCTGAGGCCATCATAACTTCCAACCATTGTTAAATGAATAGGCAGAAACTGAGGACTACCTGTACCCAAAATGATTTGGGCAGTTAAATGATACGGAACCATTTTCCAAGTAACAGAAATCAGATAAAAATATTAAAGCTATAATGATCTATCAGAAGATATACCAGCAAAATATCATTACTTTTATATTCCCTAAAGGGTTACCTGATTCCTTCATAGAATTCTATGGATAAGCTGACAGTTTCATCATCTGTGAGATTCCCTTTATCCTGTTCTGAAACTTCACCCCTGTCTTCATTGGATCCATTGGGAACTAAACAAGTAAAGAAAGGGAATGAAAAAAAATCACCTGTTTTTTAAAATGCATATTACTGTTGACATACAACATAAGACAAATGAGGCAGACATCATACCATCTGCCAGAGGATATGCTGCATAAAAATCACGTCGTCTCTTCATTTCATCTGCAAATGAAAGCAAGATTAATACATTTAGTGGCTTCCTTCTCTTCCATTTTACAAATACATTTATTATTATTCAGAAACAATTATACAATTGTAAATTATCAATAATAATTTCAATCTGGTTTGCATTAAGTCCTAAGATATTTTTCAAAATACTTTTCTTAATAATTATGTACTATTATTTATCAGCCTCAAGTTAAAAATCAAGCAAAATCAAAATCAAATTAAGATTGCTGCATTTTGCTATGACAGCTAGGAAGCTCTGTCCCAAATTCTATTCTCTAAACTCTCAGCAGTCACAAATTCATACCTTTGAAGAGTCCTGGAACCAGCTTATATACTATATCCTGTAGAGTTTTATCTGATCTGAAATAAGATAAGCAGGCTGTCAACAAAAATGTTAATTACAAATAAATAGAAATATAAAACTATTTAGATTCCTCCAAAAGGAAAAGGAACCTGTTTTACTGTTGTACAAATAGAAAAATGCATTTTTGTCCCTTGTGAGTAAACACCCCATTTAAGTGTAGAAAGCAAACTTCCATTCTTCCTGTATTGTACCTCCTGTTTGGCAAATTAGGATTCACGCTCACATACCATTTTAAGTTGTTAAGAGAAAGATCCTCAACCAAAACTATCTTATGCAAGGCTATGCAGCTTAACATGCTAACACTTTAACTTTAAAAACCCACTTTATTTCTTTAAAAAGGTTTGGATTTGTGGAATTATCTAGATTTCTAATGATCAGAAGCAGTGCTAAGGTACAAACTCACGTATCTCAGCAGTAACATACAAGATTCCCTTCCCAATCACTTACCAATTTGTAAAACTGATTTATTTGCTGCTCCTCTCAAGGTGACTCCTATAGTAATATCAGCACATAATAGCAATAGTACTTATATTATATATCCCCTCCCCCACAGTTCTTTACAGCACTCTCTGGGCAATTTACAATGTCAGCATTTCCCCCCCCCCCCAACAATCTGGGTCCCCATTTTACTGACCATGGAAGAATGGAAGGTTGAATCAACATGAGCCCCATCAGGATTGAACTCTAGACTGTGGGCAGAGTTAGTTTGCAATGCTGCATTCTAACCACTGCACCACCAGGACTCTTGTTTTCCCTACTATAGTTTGTGGTTTATTACAAGTTTTGTTTATGTTGCTTAAATCAATAGGAATCTATGCAGCTTATAGAAAAAGCATAATTAACAATAAAGCTCCTAGCATTACCAATGGTGGAATTCACTGTGTCAGTGCTCCAATTATAGGATTTTTTGTCCTCCTTATCTGCATCATCTATTAACTTCTTAAAAATACTGAAACTGGGTTTAATAAGCCTAGCATTCTTTCAATGTGTGCTAAATTTCTGCTTATAAGAAACCTTTAGGAAACTCTGGTTAGGCATGTATATGGGCAGGTCTGCATGACCTCTGTATGAAGCCAGGTGTTTGCTGTAGTCTAAGCCCAAACAGTTGTGAAGGGATGTTTCCAGTGAGTAGAATAGAAGAATGAGTGCTAATACCCTAAAGTAGGAATTGGGCAGATTCCTCCCATGACCACTCCAGCAACCTCATTCTTCGTTAAACATCCTAAATTGTGTCCATGGCATAACCATATCGAGAGAAGAGCAAAAAAAATAATAATAATAACCTGAAAAAACTAAAAATGTCTTTAAACTGGGGATAAAACAAAGGCAACATCATTAAAGCCACTACATAAGAAATTATTATCAGACCATATTCATTTCCATGTTTTTCTTGCTGTGAAACTAAGGCTGCATAGAGAAAGGATGGAGGACCATGGTTGTTAGTTTTGCCTTTAGGAACCTAGCATTATGTATGTGTGGCATCTTAGAAGATTTAGAATTATTATCAAGTAGAGCTTCTGTGTGTAATTTAGAGAGGGACTGAAAGCAAACAAAAATTATTACTGTTGAACAGCATTAAAATTTTGATTTAATAGGCACTTTTTATTTAGGCTAGCAGCGTTCCTTCTCCCTTATAATACCATCATATTAGCACAATTTAGCAATCCTATTCACCTTGTCTAATTTTGTAATACTATTTATTGCATGTATATTGACTTTGTTTTATAATTTATGGCACCAGTCTGGCCAAATGGCTGCATGACTGGTGAGGAGAGCCATTATATTTGCTTGAATCAATAACTCACTTAATGTGCTTTAAGCAGAGTGCCTAAGATGCACTATTATTCCTAAGGTGCAGCAACGTGCAATGAATCATAGGCTTGCGACTCAGTCCTCAGCAGCTTCTTGGCCTGGATCAGGTGTCACAGTAAGTGATCATTTTATTTATCTGGGTTTGCCTAGCATACATGTGAACTCAGCCACTAATGTTGACAACCAAGTATAAGATTGTGCGTTCAATGTACTGAAGAGAGAAAAGAACACTTTCCTATCATTTTGCTAGCAGTTTCCAGCAGCCTGGACCTATATATTGTGCCATGCTGCATCTTATTACAGATTGTTCCCACGGACTCATTCCATTTTTAAAGTAAAGATTTTCTTTCTGTGTTCAATATTTTCCCCACACCAACTAGTTCAAACTGATTCAATCCTCAAAACTGATTTCATCAAAATCTCTGTTCTCCTGCTATTATTTATTATTTATTTTTATTTAATTTAATTTATATCCCGCCCTTCTCCCAACGGGACTCAGGGCGGCTCACAACATATTTAAAACAAAGGCATATATACAATCCCCCCCTGTAAAACCGAATTAAACCAAATTTTAAAGTTGTGTTATTTCGAATTCCTTAAAATGAACCCAGTATAAAATCCTCCCTAGGCCAGGTCCGCTTGCTGAAAAA